GTTTAGGGTTTACAGGGTTTAGGGTTTAGGGTTTAGGGTAAACCCTAAACATTCCCGAGGCGGCTCCGAGTCTGAGTCGTGCAAGTCGGCGGCGTGCGGTCTGCCGCATGGCGGGGGCAGTGGCCGCCCTATAAACTGGGGTTTAGGGTTTAGGGTTTTGGGTTTAGGGTTTAGGGGTGTAGCCTCAAATGCTGCGGAGCCTACGTCCGAGTAGTTGGGGTGTAGGGCTTTTGTAGGGTTCAATCTGGGGAGGCTCCTTGGGATGTTTTACATCTTCCTTTATTGGGTTGAAGAGGATCAGAGTAAGGGAGGTTTTTTCAGAGACCTGAAGGAGCCAACCGAGAGAACTTCTTAGTTCCACGAGGTGGAGATTTGGAGTTTAGGGTTTATAGGCCTCTGCATTTGGAGGACATGTACCCAGAAAGCAAGCGAGCTCGCGAGCTCACTGAAATCGATGGTGTCCATGAAGGGGGCCCCTTGCATGTGTCGGAAAGCGCCATGCGTGTGTTTTGTTTGTTTGACAAGAAGAAGGCTACGGTCTGGCGGAAAGGACATTTTTATGGGTTCCAGGTAAATCCCAGAGCCTCAACTACCTAAGGCTTGAGAAGTCCGAAAGCTCCTTGATTTTAAGAGGCCTTGAAGTCCTAAACTGACTGGGTTTAGGGTTCAGGGTTTAGGGTAGGCTCGAATAAGGCTCACTAAGGAAGAGCTAGCTGAACCTTATTTATTGTGGTGGAGCGGTTTGAAAAGCTTAGGAGTTCGGGGTCTGGGTAGAGTAGCAGGCAGCTGGCATTCTGGCAGCAAAGAACCCTCAACCCCAGACCCCAAAACGATGCCCTAAACCCTCAAAAGCCCCCTAGATTCCCTGCACTCCGCAGATGTAAGCCTAAACCCTAAACCCTAAACCCTAAACCCTAAACCCTAAACCCTAAACCCTAAACCCTAAACCCTAAACCCGAAACCCGAAACCCTAAACCCTAAACCCTAAACCCTAAACCCTAAACCCTAAAAGGCTGCATTTGGGGGGCGGAACTCCGCGCAATACTTGCGACCTTGGAGAGCTTGCTCCACATGGTGCTGGCCACCTGGCCTCAGACTTGGTCTAGGATTTGGGGTTTAGGGTTTAGGGTTTAGGGTTTAGGGTTTAGGGTTTAGAAATCCTAAACCCATAGACTTTGAGACCATCACCCTTGTAGCCTCGAGCCCGATAGACCCGAAGTCATCATGGGAGTCCCAAAGTCTGGTTTGGGGGCCCGCATGCAGGGCATAAGATACTGCAACACGAATATTAACTTTTAAAATCACAAAGTGAACCCCTCCTATTCTACAAATACTCTCGGCAGATATACATATATATCTATATATATATATATAAGTACATAGTACAATATAATATAGTTTGATTCAATATAGTACAATTCAATATAATATAACACAATATTACATAATACCATATACAAATAGCAAAACTTGAGAAGTTCAACTTGACCCAGAGCCCAATGTCGCAGCATCTTCATAGCGGGATCCTATTGTTGAAGGTTTCGGGTTTTAAGGGTTTAGGGTTGTACACCCCGAGCAACCTCCTACTACGCGAGGAAGGATAGGCTCACCCTGTACAAGCCTCAACAACCCTACTTCTGAGGGCGGCACGAGGTAGGATGGAGAGGGATGCTAAGGGTCTGGGCGTGTGATACCTTATGGCTTGGCAGAGGCGGCAAGGTGCAGATACGAAGGATCATGCGTCCTCTGCGCGTGTATGAACGAACGCTGCCTCAGCCTCCGCACTGTGAAAGTATCTTGCGTTTATTTCCGTTGAGACTATATCCAAGAGTCTAATCTAGCTTTGTGTTGAGCTCGGTTTTACATAATACAGCTCGAGGACAAGGTTTATGGCCCTACGTGGGGCCCATTCCAGCCCACGTACAGCTACCAATGACCCTTTGAGTATAGACCAAGGAGGAAGCAAAAGAAGAAGAAACATCCTGGGCCCTAACCCTTACGCCCCGCGACCCTCCTTGCAACACATGCACGCCGTCAGTCTTGAGGTGGTATAAGCGGCATCACGCAGATGGTTGTGATGAGGGTCGATGTCCAGGCCTACCCTACAAACCGCAAGCAAACTCCCCCATACTGGCCCTAAAAACGTCCCCATCCTAGTGACAAAACCCTAGACCTTAAACCTTAAACCCTAAACCCTTAGTGGCTCACGGAGGTCCGTGAGACGGGTCTGCTGAGCATCTTTGAGCTGAACACCCGCATCGGACCTTTGGCTTAATCCTTTAAAGACCAAGAAGCTGCGTTTAGGGTTTAGGGTTTAGGGTTTAGGGTTTAGGGTTTAGGGTTTAGGGTTTAGGGTTTAGGGTTTAGGGTTTAGGGTTTAGGGTTTAGGGTTTAGGGTTTAGGGTTCCAAGAACACGCAAGTCAGCCGGTGACAAGAAACATACTGTCGCCCAGCCGCCGAAGGAGCTGATTTGGCCGTGCATGCTCCGCGGGACCGCGCGCGGACGGTTCTGCAGAAGTTGGACGAGCACTTCCGCCCGAAGCCTCGCACGGCATTTTCACGTAGGGGGCTTTAGCTCGGTAATTAGCTGCGAACAGCTGGTGCCTTTTCTGAGTTCTGTTCTCTGTCCTGGTTGCAGCTGTCTTCTTCAAACTTCAAACCCGCCAAACACAAGACGTCTTAACGGGGTCCAAGTTCCACGGACAAAGTCCTACCCTAAGTCCTAAATCCCCAAAAGATGATGAGAGCACGACAGAAACCAAGCACCCTTCGGTTAGAGGAAATATGTTTTTTTTTTTTTTTTTTTCTCTCTCTCTCTCTCTCTCTCTCTCTCGCTCACGTTGGGCACAAGGCAAACCCCAACCTCTCATGGTTCGCGCTTTGTGTCCTCCAGCTCAGGACCGCATTGGAGTTGGCAGCCAGTTGCGGTGACAAGAGAAAGCTGTGGGGGCACAGATGAGCCCCATCATGGGGAGGGGGGACAAAGGGTTCAGCGGCCCTTAAACCCTAAACCCTAAGCCTATAGAACCCTGAAGCCTCAAGACCCCTAAGCCCGCATGGGCCAGAAACCCTAAACCCTAAGCTCGAAGGACTCAGGAATCCTCATGTGACAGGCTCAAAAGGTTTAGAGCATCAGCGCCACATCCCTCGAAGCCCAAAGCGCGCGTAGGGGGAAGCCATGGAGTCCCCCAAAAAGCCGCCAAAAGCCCCGCGTCGTATAGTAACAGCTACCTTGAAGCTCAACCGTTTAGGGTTTAAGGTTTAGGGTTTAACCAAACAAAATCTCACCGAGCCATGCCTTCCTTTGGCGCCAAGCCGGAAGACCCGAGTGACCTCTCGCCGCCGAACGAGCTGGCCCAGGAAGCTCTGGCTATCTTTCGCGTTTAGGCCTTATAGGGTTTCTCCAAGCGTGTTGCAAAAAGTAGGGGCTTGGGTTTTGGGAATTGAGCTAAGAGCCAGACCACTATGGGGAGGTAGCTCAGTTTCCTGTCAATGGTTGAACTAATTAGTTCCCATGCATGCACGGTGGGAGAGAGAGAGAGAGAGAGAGAACACAGTGTGTCTTTTTGCCTTTTCTGGCTTGCAAACGTGCCAAAGGTTCCAAGGCTGTTGATGGTTGAACATAGCGTAAAGTTTTACAAAGGCTGAGGCAAGCAAGACGAGAAGCTTTCTCCATGGCACCTGTCTTTCATTAGAAACTCGTGGCTCATGAAGGCAACAGCCAGGATTGGAGAATGAGGGAGCGACAGGGAAACAAAACTTCACCTCGTAAACAAGGATGTTGAGGGAGTTTTCCTTGGCAGTTTCTTGGCATTAGATGGGTGCTTCATGCATCCAGGATTTTACATGTCCAAGCTAGAGCGTTTTGGCGGTCTAGTGCACGAGTATACTACAGATGAACTGCCCATGTGACTCTGGGTGAGCATTCGAGCCAGTCTTGTTCTTCCTAGCGCTTACTTCGCTCCCGAGGCACAAAAAGACCCCCACGAAGAGAATCTAACAAAGGCGTCATAGAGCCCTTTGGTTGAAGGCTTCGCACGCGCCTTCGTGGAGTGCTTGGGATTCTGGACCACCTCTATAGACCCCATAGCATAGGCCTGTAGATCGTTATGGGCCCTGTAACCTGCCTACGACAGGACCATGCCGGGCCCGGCCTAGGTGCAGAGGCGGGATTCAGGGTTGCCGGGCTTTGGGGTTTAGGGTTTAGGGTTAAGGGTTTAGGATGGGTTTCAAAAGGATGTCAGACAGAAACGTTTTAAGCATCGAAAAACCTTTTGCGAGCTACTCGGACCTGAGGCGCAGAACGTGGGGGCTGAAAGACTCTTTTGCATCCACCAAAAACAAAGACATACAAACAATTGATATTTTTGCAGCTTGAGTCTCAAGAGTTTTACCTTTTCTGCATCCATGAATCATGCAACTGTCCAAAAAACCTAGGCTTTTAGCTACTTGGCATCCAACGTCACGAAAAATACGGTCTTATATTCAGAATCCAGAAACCATTGAAGTGTCAGAACACCTTAAAGTTTTAAGCGTTTCGAGCACCGAAACTGTGTGGGAACTACCGAGAGGCTCGGACCTGAGGCGCAGAGCCTGAGAGCCGGGACCTGAAGCCTGGGGCTTGATTTTACGAGTACACGGCCAAGTAGATTCGGGAATATTTTTAAATGATAACTGTCATCGTGAAAACCTGTATTTTTGTGAAACCCACAAAACGCAGGCCTCCACGGCGTCCTTTTCTGTTTGGGTTTAGGGTTTGGGGTTTAGGGTTTAGGGTCTATGTAGAGATTCAGGTTTAAGGCTGCTGCCAGTGTTTGTTGTGCCAGAACCCTGGAAGGCTGCTTGTGACGTTCGTTCAAGTTGATGCACAGTGGAGGGCGGGAGTGTGGTGTGCAGTGAAGTGGGGGAAAATGAATTGCACTGCAAGCCCTCCTCATGTTCTGAATCCTCATACCATGACACTTTGGGCTCAAGATGCAGAAAGCCATGCAAATCCAGGATGTGGCTTCTCGCAAAGGCGGAAAAGGCGGACTCTGCTGAAGTGAAAGCCATGAAAGCCAAGAAAGAAAAAAGCCCGATGCGCCAGATGAGCCAGATGAGCCAGCTGAGCCAGATGAGCCAGCTGAGCCAGTATTCTGCCTCCAGAACCAAGGGAGCTGCCGAGAGTGCAACGCCATATGACGCCAGTAAAAGAGCTGAGGCGGTGGAGGCCATACATGGAATCACAGAGCGCCTTCATGGTGAGTTCACGGTAAAGGGCCTCACAGACAAGAAGAAATTTGTCTTCCTGCCAGCTGAGGATGTGGGAGACAGGCGAAGCATACACCAGCTACGGAAGTTCTGGGGGTTAGACAAGCCGGGCTTGGTAATACAGAGTAATGACAATGTGAACTTGCCCAGCACCCTTGTTTACCAAGAGATGCTTGACGATCTGCCAGATTTTCAGGATTTGGCAGATGTGACGCAACAAAAGGGCGACGAGCATTTGGCAACAGTGAATCACTACCTTCAAAGCCGTCTTCTCCAGACTTTTAGCAGCATTGTGGCGGCCGTTGACGCGACGGACAGCTGGATTCTTGCTAAAGGCTTCAGCTTTACGAACCATCGCTTGATCCAAGATGCTGCGAATGCCAACAGTGCTTCCCCAATCATCTTTGTTGTTGACAACCCTTCTGCCTATGTTGACTCCTGGAACCCGTCTTGGGAGCTGGCAAGTGGGGCCCTGAAAAAGCTTCGTGCTGGCGCAAAGTCCTGGAAAGTTCCTTCCGGGGAGATCATTGAGATTGACTTCCCTGAGGAGAAGCGCTTTCGGGACCAGGGTGCTCTGAAGGAATTTTCAAATTGGATATTCACAGGTGGCAGCCACTTCGTGTTCTGTGAAAACCCTTATGAGTTCAACGAGGAGTGTCTCGGCCCGTCAGGATGGATCATGCTGGGTGGCTTTTTCCAAGATACCGCCGAGTGCCTGAAAAAGGCGATGCAGAAATTTCAGCCCTGCATACTCGTGAACAACACGGGCGGTGAGACACAGGAATACGCGCGCCTCATTGAGAGGCTAAGGGAGATTACTGCCACAAAAGGTACTTGCCACGCTGAACTCCACGAACAAGCTCAGGATCTCTTGACACATGCTTTGCTCGGACAGCATACCCGTGAGGAGCATCGCATCAGAGACTGGGGCGCTAGACACTTGACTCTGGCCCAGGTGCTTGAGACGATAGACCTGCACTGTGAGATTCCGTGGCTTTTCCAAGATCGTATCGTTCCGGTGAACCCACTCAAGGAGTCGCCATCAGAGGTTCTCAACACTCTGTCACAGTGCTTTGCGAGCGTTTACATGAAGACTCATGAGATTGGGGCAGGACGTGCAGACCGCCAGGCTGTCCTGCATGCTTGGCATGTGCACAAGTTGCTGACGGACAACGCCGCTTTCCAGCGCAGCACCGGGGACACGATCGCGCTGATGGCCACCTTCCTGGCATTCGTGGCCACAACGTTGGCGATAGTCAGTGAGCAGCTGGATGACGAGATGCCCGGTTTCCGGGATAGCTCATGGAGCTATTACGTTGGCAAGGCAGTTATAGTGTTGCCTGCGTTATCCACCTTGATGTCCGGAATTCTGGCTTTCGGCGGCTGGCTCGAAAAATGGTCTGCGCTGCACATGGCGTCAGCACGCATCGCAGAGCACATATATTTGTTTCGCATGCGAATGGGTCCTTACAGCCACCAGATCTCTGACAGCCAAGGACCCGATACTGAATATTCACCCGATCTAGAACTAGAAAACAACTTGTCGGTGCGCCTGAGCCTTTGCCGCCACAAATTTTCCAGAACGGTGCAAGTAATACTGGAAAATGTGACCAAACAGGAAATGAAGACCGATGCGCTTCACTTTGAGGAGAACACGCTGGAGTTAGACAGTTATGTTAATGCTCGGCTCTATGGTGGCCTGCGGTCAGCCCGCGTATATGGTGGCCTGCGGTCAGCCCGCGCACTTGCCTCTGTAGCTGGTGTTGAGGGCCGGCCTTTGCTTAGTGAGGATGGGGCCGAAGATGACGACAATCTTTCAACCCTTTCTAACATGGCCTACTTCCAGCACCGTGTGCACCCGTTGCTCCAGCTCAGCGCTCGGACCGCGCCACGCCTGCGCCTATGCTTCGCAGCATTGTCAGTGTTGGTGCTTGCATGTGGGGCCGTGGCCACCATCTTAGCGTCACTCGGCCTGAAAACGTGGTTGCCCATAGCAATATCAGCTTCTGTTGCCTGTGAAGCGCTGCAGACGCATTTCGGTCTGAAGCAGTGGCTGCGAGGCACCACTGTTGCGGTGGGCAAGCTGAAGGCATTGGAGACAAGGTGGAGCTCCATGGGGCCCATCAACCAACAGCTCATGGGCGTGCGCTCCATGTTGGCAACAGTGTGTGAGGAGACGGCGCTTCAGATGGCGTCAGCTCGGGTAAGAGATAGCGCAGACCTAATGCCAAGTGAAGACACAAGTACCAGGAAGGGCTTTGAGGAACAAAGCCTCAAGTCCTTTCAAGTGCAGTAAAAAGCTGCATTTGTGGCTGGAAGTCTGCCAAATGGCACAAATTCCATGATGTTTTCACCATAAAGCCTGTAGCCTGTCCCTGCACGCGGATGCCTGCATCATGAGCATCCATAGCGCGCCCAAGAACGGCGAAGCGGGCTTCCGGGACTACGCATACATGGGCTTTGCTTGAGATTGGAGTGGACACATTCACGTCGAGTTGAGAAATTTCGCACAGATGCTGAAAGGCTGCGCCCAGAACAGGCTCATTTTAGTCTTGCATCAGCAAGGTCCAAGAACGGCTTCTTTACATCATTCACACCGGAGGTGGATAGTCGCTGTAACGGGCTGAAGAGCTGCAGAGGCCTTGCAACATTTGCACCTAATTCGTCCTAGCGGACAGTCGCCGTAGGAGGTTGAAGAGCCGCAAGGAGCCACCTTAAGGTCTCGCAGGAAAAGCGGCAGCGGGCTGAGCTTGAACCCATTGCCAATCATTGCGCTCGTTGCTTTTGGGTGCCATCCGGAAGGTCAACAGATGGAGAGAGACGAGGTCCGGCTACAGTTTCTGCAAGGATCAAGTCTTGGCTTGAGTTGAATTAGGCTTGAAAGGGCAAGGGGTTCGGCTTCAAAGGCCTTCAGTAGTTGAGTTTTTCTGTGGGGTGCACGACTGAAATTTCGGCTTAGGGTCTCACTTCTCGCGTCAGAATCTCTGGAGTGCCCAGCCCCATAGTATCCCCACAGAATCCCTTGGAGTGCCCATCCTCAGAGTACCCCCTGGAGTGCCCGTCGGACCGCGGGTTGTTAGGGTGGACAGCGTTTATCCGTAAGTCAACCGCCCTTCAGTCTCAACTGGACCGGCTTGAAACCAAGAAAACGTCGCCGGCGTCGCCCAGTGGCTTCAGGAGCTGATTTGGCCGTGGATGCTCCGCGGGACCGAGCCCGGACGCTTCTGCAGAAGTTGGACGAGCACTTCCGCCCGAAGCTTCGCACGGCATTTTCATGTAGGGGGCTTTAGCGTGGGGCTGATACGCCACTATGACTGCAAAGGGGCCTTACCCCCACAAATAGCTTTGAACAGCTGGTGCCTTTTTTGAGTTATGTTCTCTGTCCTGGTTGCAGCTGTCTTCTTTCCAACCCGCCAAACACCAAACAAGACGAGGGCTTAGGACGTCTTAACATGGTCCAAGTTCTATACGCCCCAAGTCCTACTCTAAGCCCCTAATTACGTGCAAAACAAGACAACCTAAACCCAAATCCTAATGCTTTTTTGTTTTTCTCTCTCTCTCTCTCTCCCCATCTCTCTCTTTCTCTCTCTCTCTCTCTCTCTCTCTCATGTTGGCCACAAGGTACACCCCAACCTCTCATTCGTCTGCCGCAGCCAAACACACATGTGCCCAGTGCTTGTGTTGTCATGTATACCATTCGCGGCCAGCGCTCGCTTGAGAAACCCTTTGCTTTGTGTTTGGGCAAGGCGGCTTCCTTGCGAAGACCGCAGTGTAGCTGTTGTATGCAGGTTGCAGGGGCAGCCCTACTAGTCTGCATGTCTGTGCTGAAGCCGCGGTCTGCAAAAGCTCACCAGCACATCCTTTGCCCCCGGAGCTCTTCTGACATGCTGCGATGTGCGTGGACCATGTGCATGCTGCATCCTTGCGAGGATGGCTTTGGCAGAGGCGGGATCATCTTTCGGATTTCGTGGTAAACGACGGTTCGCAGCCGACAGCACACCTGCCTCACTGCCCGGCGCCGTGGGGGCCCTTTTTTGGGGGGGGGGGTTTTAGGCCTGGTGTCCGGGCGCACCCCCTTGTTTCCAAATCCTTTGAAGAACTCTTCGTGCCACAGAATCCACAGGCGACGACGCCCTCTGATGATGGCTGCCTCCTCGAAGTCCGGAAGTCACCGGGAGCTGCGCAGGACATTTCCCTGAACGGCAGTTCCCTGGTTGAGAGCATGCCTCCATGTAAGGATTTGATAAAAGGTGATTCTTGGTACCAGGTCCGGATGAAAGCGTACTATCATGTCACCTCATGCCATATGTGTGGCCTCCCGATTGACTTCGGCAACGCAAACTCCTGGGACCATCACTGGAGAAAGAACCCCATGATTTCGATTGGCAAGCTTTGTCAACCAGAGCCCGTGCAGTGCCTGAGAGCGCTGAGGGCGGGGGCGCTGGAACCACATCACTGTTCTCATAGGCGAGGGGTAGGGGGTAGGGGGTAGGGGATAGGGGGTAGAGAAGGAGGGGGGGAGGAGTTAGTGGATACCATTTCCATTTTCTAACCATGCTCCCCCCCCTAGCACCCAAAACCGTAACAACCTATGCCTCAACTCTAACCCAACCCAAGACCCATAGGGGGTAGCCTAGGAATAACTCACCTGAAGACCCAAAACCATAACAACCTCAACCCAATACCCACAAGATAGAACCATTAGAAGACCCATACACCACCCCATAGAAAAAACCCACTCTAAACCTCATACACCAACACCCCCATAGAAAAACCCATATTCCCAACCTGAAATCCCTAACCCTTGAAAATGGAAATGGTATTCTCTAATAAAATATCTATAATAGGAATAAGGTTTAGGGATAAGGTAGGAATAAGAAGACCCCCTCCCGCCCACATTGCTATACCCCCCGAGGTTCTGCGGTATAACCCCGATGTTCTGCCGAGTTTTTTGACATGCCCCGCCGAAACCCTTTCGACAGCCCCGCCGAAACCCTTTCGACAGCCCCGCCTTTCGACAGCCTCGCCGAAACCCTTTCGACAGCCTCGCCGAAACCCTTTCGACAGCCCCGTCGAAACCCTTTCGACAGCCCCGTCAAAACCCTTATTGTAACATGGCGGTGGAACTGCTACAAACATAACATTATAAGAAAAAATAATGTTATGGTTGCGAAACTATAGCGAAAACACATGCTCTACATACTCCATAATTTCTTCGGTTGTGGTGTTATAATAATCCCTCCAACCTACCAGCCAAAAATCAAAACATTCGCGTATTATTTCCTTTACTATAACTTCCTTACTAATTTCAAAACCGTTAAATCTAATAGTAGCGGTTTTAATCTTATAATATGCGATTTCCTTAAAAACTTTTGTGTCTGATAAACGGCTTATGACACTATATGATAAACTAGCATGACATACACCGTGAAACATAAAACGCTCCCTGTCTGAATGGTTTCTGATATTTACAAAGTGCTTCATTATCTTTCGCAGTGGGTTATTTGACCTTTTGATGATGTTTTTGTATTTGCGCCTGTCCATAATTGTATCAATGTCATGGTTACGATATAGAATGTGTATTATTATCTTTTGAACTTTGTTTAGTTTTGAAAATCTGGGGTTTTCATCAAAATCTTCCATTTCCATTATCTTCTTCCTATACTTATCGCATTTATCATATTCACATACACGATTACATATATCAATCGGCAACTTGCTATTTAACACCCTTACTTTGTTCATTTCTTCGCACTTCCAACAACTTTCAAATTTGAACATTTCCCTGTTAATATATATAGGTATTATTTCTTTAGATGGTTTTTTCTTTAGAAAATAAATTCATAAGATTATTAAACTTTTAACAACTCAAATCGCAAATATTGCCTAGTATTGCCCTCAACTCTGTAATAATTTTGCCCCAACTTATTTTCAATATTTTCTATGGTATAAATATTTTGGCTGTAATTTCCGACCCTTTCTTTTTCATTTGGTTTTCGCTTCTTAAATATCTTAACCTCGTCTCCTACATTTAGTTCAGGATAAACGCGGTTCTTCTTTCCTTTCATAGTTAAATTTAATTTCACTTTGAATTGGTTACTGGGCTTTCGGGCTTCTTTCGGCGTAAATCCCGTTGCCGAGTGCTTCATTTGATTGTTATAGGTTAATAATATTTCTAATATGTAATCTGGCCATTGGAGGTTTTGTTTTCCTTTTTTCTCATCTGCTTCAACTCTCCTATACAACATATCTTTAAAAGTTCTGATGGCTCTTTCGCTAAAATTTGGGTGCGCCCTCGTTCTATGATGTTCTATGTTCTCATCCTTCAAATACTTTTGTATTGCCTCCTTGTTCAATGCGCCTTCATCGTCCGTATAAATTATTTGAGGTTTCTTACCCATCTTGTTTAAACATTCAATCATTCCACTCGCTACATCTCCTTCTTGTTTGCTTTTTATCGGCACTACATACATGAATTTATCAAAAACATCAATCATCAAAACACCTACCCTAAACTTTTGTTCTTTCAAATCGTTTATAAAAAACAAATCCATCTGATATTCATAAGCGGAATGAGGGGCGATAAAACTGTTTTGACCTACCGGCTTTCTTTTTTGTTCAACATTCTTTCTAAAAAACTCGTTTATATCTGCCATTGTTATGGTTTTGTCCTTCTCCCGTGCTTCGCTTAATGTCCTTTGTTTTGAACCATAACCCGCTCTATCAAAATATACATCATTAATAATTTTCTGTTTCTCACTCATATAAATAAGTAACAAAAAATAATGATTTAATATAAATAATTAAATCATAATTTTCTACATTCCGCTGTTTGGCATAATCACTTTGTATTCGTTCATGTCGTATTTTGGTGCTCCGCGCTTCTTTCCGCTAGGTTTCTTATCTGTAATGATTTCATTAATCTGACTTGGTGTTAAGTCTTCCTCGCTTAAATTGTTTTCTTCTATGTATTCCTTAAGCTTCTTCTTCTGGTTGTGCCTTAAACTTGCCTCGCGCTTCTTCAGCATAAATTGCTCGTCTTCTTTCCTTTTATTGTAATAAAGCCTCTGATACAAAGCCAGTTGTTGCTTAATCTCGTCCATTGTCATATCCTCGGGACTTTTAAAATGTGTCATATTACTATACTATATATTTATACTATTTCTTTAAATAAGTTTCTAAATATATTACGAAAATCTTTAGAAAAAGTATTTAAAAAGAAAATTTAATTTATATTGTAATTATATTGTATATGAGCAAAAATATTAAGCGTAACACGAGAGCACTACAAACAAC